CAATCTTTGCCATGATGATGACTATTATCTTTTTACTATTTGTAAGTTCAACTATGACTGATATTATCTTTTATAATTTAACTTTATTTTTTTGTACAAACTTTTTATCAACAAAATTTCTTGAAGCATCACTATCTAATAATACTCATGCTAGTTTATCATATACTTGGTCATTAAATTTTAATAATCTTTTTCTGTTATCTTCAAGATAAGTAAATTCAACTTTCTTATAAGATTGTAAAGATTCTTCTTATTTATCTTTAATGTTTGCAATTTTGGCCTTTGGTTTTGAATAATAATTCTTTGCAAAGTGATCTGGTTTATCACAATTATAATAGGTATCTTTTGATTTATTATTTTTCTGATTATTGTTATTTCTTTTATTATTATAATAACTTTCTATCTGATCAAGTTCTATTAGTATAGGACTATTATTCTGATGACTTCTGTGCTAATTTTGAGAGTAATGACTATTATTACTTCTGCTTGATAGATCTAGTAGTCTGTCTTGATTATATATTACTATACAGTCAATCTTAATATAATAGATCACTCCGTTCACACTATTTGATTTAATATATTAAGAAGTCTGGCTAATTAAGAGTTTTCATTATATCAGACTTACTATATAAAAAGAAAAAAATCCATTATATCAATTCTTATTTATTAAGTTGTAATAATAAAATTAAAACTCATCTAAAATAAAAAATTAATCAATACTAGTCTGTTTTTTTTAGCTATACTTTTGATAATAATCTTCTTTTCTAATTTTATCAAATTATGATAAAAACTCACATCAATATCCCATTCAGATTGCTTGATGAATGTAATAAGAATTTTAGTACTATTTAAAGCTTCACCAATAAAAATTTCTTTCTTACTTTCATCTTTATCATCAGGTTCATTTTCTAATTCTTTCCCAAGTACTATATCAATAATTTTTTTTATATTAATCTTTTCATGGTTAATATTATCATCAATATATATAAATTTATGCGCAAAAAGTAATTTTATAATAGGCAGCTGTTGAATTAGTTAATTTAATTCATGCTTTAACTGTTGAGATTTAGATTCTCAAAGATCAATAATATCAACTTCTTCTTCTTTATTAAAAGTTGATAGACCACATAATAATTCAGATGAAAAAGAAGATGGAAGAATATCAGACCATGTCTAGCTATGTTTAATTATCTCTGAAGAGATAATATTCTATGCATGACTGATATATAAAATAGCATCATAGATAGAAGTTTTTCAAAGTTCATCTTCTTGATCAATTAATTTTTCATAGATTGCAATTTTTTCTGAACATAGAATTTTTTTGTATTGCACCTTAATTATAAATAGTGTTAATAACAAAATAATAATAAAGCACATTAATAAAAATTACTAATCTTTAAACTATACAATATTCCTTAATCCAGAGATTGAATAATTGAAGTAGTATTAGAAGGTAAAAAGTGAACATAGATATTAGATAATTCATTAATATTATCAGCTTTATGACATTTTATATTATCTATTAAAAGAAGAATCTTCTGATTTGTAATACGCATCTGGAAATTAAGCCAATTAAGGTAAGATCTAAAAATAGACCTTTGTATCCATACTTTTGTGTTCTAATAATACCATACTGGAAGAGTGGATTTATTAATCCCTCTGAGAGTACATGGCATTTCATACTTGTGGATAAATAAAATTAGTAATTTTTCATCTTCTGTTATATTTGTTATTACTAACAATAATACTCAGTCTTTTGATTTCTTCTTTTCTTTAACTAGACTATATGCTAGAGTTTGACTAGATTCAAGCATCCAATATAATACTGTCTTGTTACAGTTGAATATATCTTGAGGTTCATAGTCTTTAATTATGTCTTGAAGTTATTCACGAAACTTTAGAATCTTATCTATATTAATATTACCAGATTTACCACATTTTTTGTAGGACTTCAGATTATTTCATTATTTGAAATTGTTAATCCAACCTGCAGAAGCTACAAACTTATCAAAAACCTTGAATTTTTTAGCAAATAACAAGGCTTTTTCTATTAACAAACTATCACTCAAATCCAAGTCATTTCATGCTAGTACATTTTTCATCCAAATTTTCATTGCTTCTTCAATATTTTCAAAGATTACTTTTTGGACATGTTTGGATTCAGTTAAAGATATTCCTGATTTAATTTTCAACCATTGCTCTTTTGCTTTGATGATATCAGAAATAGATTACTTTGATATTCTATACTCAATAGTGATATCTTTTTATTTCAATGTCTTATCATTTGCAAGATGTTCACAAATTTCTTTTTTTTGAAGTACTGTTAATAAAACATGAACTTTTTTATCTTTTTGGTTAAATTAGTTACTGCTGCTTTTTGCTTATCTGAAGCTTGATTATTTAGTATTGGAGTAAGTGAAAAGTAAAAAGAAGAAGAAAGGGAAGAAGAAGAAAGAGGAATGAGTTCATTTTCAGTAGTTATAAAAAATTATAGTCTATAATTAGTAATATGATAATTACAATTTAATGATTGGTAGAAGCTTTAATAGAGTCTGTTATTATTATTATATTATACTGGATTCTATTCTAGCTATTTTGGATTTACTTTAGCTATTTCAGATCTGGTCTAACTATATTGAAATCTGTTTTATGAAAATCATTATATCAAACATAGAGCATTATTAGATCATTCAGCAAATTAGTCTGGATCTGCTATAAAATTAATTATTAATAAAGTCTGGTATACATATTATTGAAACTTTTCATTTTCAAAAAAAATCCATACTAAGCGAAATCTATTATATTGGTGGTCCATTATATCAAGATTGACTGTGTATATTATAGCAAATAGCTAACTTCTAAGCTTTTTCTAATATTTCTGATATCTAATAACTTATCTTTATCTTTATAGTTGATTTTAGATCTTCTATGAAATACAGTACTCATCAGAAGTAATCTACCTCCCATAACTCAACTAAAAGGTAAGATAAAACCTTTTTTTTTTATTAGAACATTTACAATATATTCTGATCATTAATATATTGTATAATCTCCCTTAGCTTCAATTAACTTCTTAACTCAACTTCTCATATTATGAACAAGATTCACAATAAGATCATCAGGTAAGTGATTTCATTCTTTTACTAATTGTACTTTTAATCCAATAAGTATTCTAATTTTTTTTTGCAATATTAATTTTTATTAACCTCTAAATATTTTCAATTGGATTTTGATCAGGTGATATTGATGGCCATGAAAGAACTTTGATATTATTTTCCTTCTTCTAATGACTCATCAATTTTGAATAGTATTTCAGGTCATTATCCTCTTGCAAGATCCACCCTTCAGAATCATTCCCAAAAAGATACTCAACAAATAGTAGAAGATCATGCTTATATATCATAATTATAAAATTAGCATTAAGATTCTGCTGAAAGTAGACTAACTCATCAAAGTCCAAAGCAGAAAAATAACTTTATATATTGATTTTTAATGAATACTTTACAGACTGGAATATTTTTCTTTGTCCAGAAAATTGCCAGATCTTAAATGATGACTGGTTTAGATGAAATGTGCTTTCATCTGAAAATATGACTTTACTTCAGTCAAAATTTCTATAATTTTTCATCTATTCCAACCATTTTTCTTTATAGATATTAGTAAGTAGAGATTTGAAAAGTTTTGCCATATATTTGCCTTCATCTTCATATAAATATCATTGAATTATATTTAAACTAATATTAATATTTCATTTTTTTATTTCCCATTATATATTAGTGGTGGTTGTATTAGTTTACTTCTGTGCAAGCTCTATAATCTTTTTGTCTTACTTCAGAGTTGTCAATTGATTTCTGCCAGATTTTGATTGATCATTTAGATCCTTTGTTTTCTGTCATTTTTATATCCAATAAATCATCATGAGCTTACTACAGTAAACATATTTAGTTGTAGCTTCAAGTCTAAGCTTTGGACCTTTGGGATATATGTGTAAAAAAATGATTTCATAACATTTATGAATTAGAAGCAATATTATTTGTATATAGAAGTTTGATAAATATCAAATGCCTGATTTGATTTATAAAAGATGTAAATGATCAGTATTTATATAGTTCTTTGTGTTCAGAAAATTTTGGTACATTACACATGATCTATGAAAAGTTATGGAGGGTAGGCTACTTCTGAGGAGCACTGTAATTACATTTAATTATTACTATTAGATATTACGTATCTACTATCTGATTATACAGTGATGTGCAAAGAAATGACAATCAAAAATATCATTATAAAAAATTTTATTTAAATATTTAAGGCCAACGTTCACCATAACAATTAAGCAAGAATTTCTACATTTCTTTTTGCCAATACTCCATAAGAAAAGATCAGGGCTGTTAGAAGGCCAATCAATGATTTCGGAACATTATTCTTAATAAAATGTTTATCAATACGGCTGATGTGTTTGGGATTTTCAGCATTGGACGAATTGGGCTCACTTTTATACCAATGTTTGATTGTGTTGAAAAAGCATTCTTATCAGTAAAATGATCCGTTTCCAATTATCATTTAGATGACGATTGGCCCATGCAACGTGTAGCAAGAGAAAGCTTATTTTTAGGCAAAGAACCTAACAAATACGATATGATTACAAGTACTTTTATTGCTTGGAGACGTAATTTACTTCTTTTGGAGAAAAACTTTTTATTCTTTATTTCTTATTATTCGCCTTTTTATTGATGCTATCTATTTAACTGGGAGCCGGCCGATCTTGGATTAGTGATCGACATTATAACGAACACGTTAGTAGAATCGCGGAAAAGATGCTTGAAAAACCCCGTGATCGTACAGTCTCACGGTTTACTCGGAGGATTCCCAGAAACGAAGGTCCGGCGGGTAACACTGTTAACGTTAACCTTTCAATCTTTGTATTTTTGCTTCCAAGAAACAAAACTGTATTACCTCTAATTATATTCTTTTTGGAATTGAATTTAGACGTTGTAACACAAATGACAGACATTGCAGAATCTATGAAACAAGAGGCAAACGAAGAAGCAGTAAATGATTCTCTTACCCTAAGTGAACTGAAGAATATTGTGAAACAGTTTCCCAACAAAACAAAAGTAACGTCTTTTTCTATTTTTATATGAAATTAAAATTTCTTTAATTAATGTTCATGTTTTAATTACACTCAATAGCCTAAAGAAATTTTGTTCTCTTATGCCGATAGTGATGATATATCCAATGAAATAGATGAATTCTATAGTTATGTCGAAATCAGCCAATGCCTTGATTTTCAAAAATCTTTTGAAGAAACTTTTGATGAACGTAATTATCATCTATCAATTAATTAATAATATACAGTTATAAGACATGAGATCAATAAATTGATAATTAACATTCCTCACCCAGCCTGGACAAAATGCACAATATCTGAACAACGCACATACGTAGAGTATCTTTTAGAGACGCTTGAATTAAAAGATCCTCAACGAAGATTTTCCTCAGCTCGGAAAATATTGTATATTGCTCAAGGTATCTATGCAATCAGATTGATGATTTCTAGCTTATATTACGAATCTTTAAAGGAAAAAATTACAAAAATCCACTGTAAAAAAATTATTATGCCGTGAGAAAAGCAAGGAATATAGTATTCTCAAGTTTATGTTTTTCGCATTCACATTTAATTCATTTAATTACAATTAGGAACATTTGGTGAAATGTCATCACCCGAGGAACATCTTCGTTGGATTAAAGAAAATAATAAATTATTGAGGAAAAGCGGGGCTTTTTTGTCATATTTTCAAGCGCTTAAATTAGCTTGCCATGCTCATGATTATTATAGGTGAGTAGATTAAAGCTTTTAAAGTTGTTATTAGTAAATACTTTATTATTAACCAAATTCTATCAATAGTCGCCCAGATCTCAATATCGGAACTGGTGAACGGCAGGCTTATATTGACGATACACACGCAGAAATTGGATTCTATCTGACGCTATTATATATGCTTGTCGAGGTTCACCGTGACGATGAAACATTGGGCACAGAATTAGGTGTTTATTATATTGTCTAGTATTTCAACGCGTCTTTTATACTCAACCTACTCTTTTATCACAAAGTCGAGTCCGATCCACCTATGGCAGTTTTTCTATTTGAAATCATTGCATCATTACGAGAAAAAAATGCTAAAGGATATCCAGTTAAAAAGGTATTTCTTCTTCTAAAAAATAAATTTTTTAATATAGTAATACCAATTCACTAAAGTTTATTCCACAAAAAGTTGCTACTTTTGCTTTGGAAAGTTCTTTTAACGAGTCTAGGAGGAATCAATGAAATCAATAGGTTAAAAGAAATTGTCAGACAAATGAATGGACTGGCTCCTTTTCGCGACCGAGGTAGTGATGCCGATGCCGTATTTTGAATAGAGGTTTTTATGTATTTATAAAACACGAGGATTATCTGAAGTATTTTCATAATATCCATATTGATCGGGTTATTAACATTGAATAACATAGGTATCATGACAAAATCCACACCACTTGACTATCACACCTTCCACAATGAAGTCACCCAAAAGTTTCCTACATACACACCGCCACCTTGTCCCGACATTATTCCCAAACCATTTAATGTACTTTTTTCTAATAATGGAAGCGAATCTTCTAATCACATGACCAACAATCCTAATGGGAATTACAATAATAATAACAATTCTACTCCAAAATCACGTAAACAACAATTTCAAACGAATCAACGGCAACCATTTATTTTTCCTTTCTCTGCATCAACTCCCAAAGTGCCAAAAGCAATTCAAGAAGCAGGTGATCTATACGTGAAATTCATGTACACCAGCTTGGGCAGTTTACAATGTCTGGTTGAACGAGAAGAAATGAAACGACAACAAAATAATAGTGCTATGACGAATGGAATAATAGATAAAAGTTCAATGATCAATGGAGAGAAATTAATCGAAGATGGGAATAAACGCGAGGCATTGCACATTGATGAAAGAGATCAAGAAAAATTGGAGAGAATTGAAGTTCTTTACGTATCCTTTTTGTAATCAGTAATTGTATTGTCAATTTTTACTATTCGTCTATATAATTCTTATACAAAATGCCTTTGATAGATGTCAATATTACCTCATATGCAAAATATTGTCATAGTTCTTTTGAAGCTTTTACTTGCTACAGTATCATCAAATAATAACTCTAATTCTTCGAAATCAACTGAAAATGGTGAAAATAAAGCAAGTTCTTCGAACGGCGGTATGGAATTTGATGGTTTTTCCTTGAAATTACTTTATTAAATAGCTTACTGGATTGTTTATATTTATCAATTTTGAATACAGAAGGAAGTGCTGCTGCCTCGAATTCGACCAATAACAACACTGTCGAAGAAGTAGATATAATGCGGCATCGTGAAATAACTTCAAAAGCAGTTTCGGCAATTTTAATATTAATGCTTAAACATTTTAAACTTTCTCGTATCCTTTATTGCTTGACATTTATTGTTATTTTTCACAAAAACCTTTGTTTATAACTTAACCACTTTAAAAAAAATATCAAAGATGCGTTGAAATTTGAATATCTCTCACAACTTTTAGTCGATTCCAATTGCTTGCTTCTCATACTGAAGATGTTCGGTCTACAAGATGTTGCATTAGCCATAAAAGCAAACAATGAAGTCGCAGATTTAAAGTGAGTCCTCAATAATAATAATAGTTAGCATTGTATATATTAATTAACATTAATATATATAACTTTATTCAGTTTCTTCCAATTTTGCGCTGTAAACGCCCGAAAGGAAAATGTCTCGAACAAACTTAAAGAACCTGAAATCATTGAAAAAACTAAATCAAGTTTGACTGAGCAAGAAAATAACGAATCTTCCACTAAAGCTCAAGATGATGAAACGGACTTTTGTTGGCGTAATTTTTTTGCCGCGATTAATTTCTTGAAAATATTGCAGAAATTGACAAAGAAAAAAACGCATAGAATTTCATTGCTAGTGCAGTATAAGTCTTCTGTGAGGATCTCTTCAAATAATACTTTTGAGCATGTTATATCTTAATCTCATCCTAATGCGTTTAAATCTTTAATAGGCAATTTTGAAACGCATACTAAAAGTGCCGCATCCTCTACTGGAGCTATATGCATTAAAAGTATTAAAGAATCAAATACCATTCGTGGGAAGAAAATGGCGCCAAAGTATATTTTGCTTTGTGTTAATGAACTTTTGCATTTAATTCTCATACTTATTTTTTTTGTTGCTCGAATTTAGGCAATATGAAGGTTATTACATCGATTTACCTAAAATGTCGACCAGATTTGAGGGATGAGTGGATATCTTCAGCTGACGCTGATGCAGAATTGGAAGATGCCTTGGCAAGTAAATCAATTTATATTTCTCCGATTGTTTATATTTTGTTCTCATATCAAGTTTTTGTAAAATATTTAATTAGCCACAAGAACAAGCTCTTCGAGAATTAATTAAATTCTACAACACACGTCATTACCTTTCGCAAAATGGAGAAAAGTTATCAAATGAATCATCTAATCACCACGACGATAAAGATTATTTTCCGGATATATTTCCACCAAACCACACACAACCATTTAAACCGTTTAACGCAGCATACATAGCAGACGATATAATGCTCGACGACGGCTTCTTATCCAACTGGGAGCAATGGCTTCACGACGAAGTCTATAGTTTTTCTACGACAACACCCCATCTTCGAGGTGTCAACGAATATTACCAGGATGACATGTTCACGTTTTATGGCGATGGCTCTGAATGGGATGCGCCTTTATCTCCCGCAGATGATGAAAATAAAAAAGATCCATTTACTAGTGTTTCATGGGATAATCTTACTCCTAACGAATATATAAATTACCAGGAAAAATTTAAAAATAGTGGGTTCAAATTAACCTACGACGAAGATGATATATTACAGGCGCCTGATTTTTCTGATGATCATTTACCATTTGAAACTAATTATCAATGGCCAGATGAAATGTTGGGTCCATATGCTGCAAAAGAAATTATTATTTATGATCCGAAATCATCTGAAGAAAATCCTCAGGAGACATAGGTATAGGTATTAATTCACCATGTATTATTCCACTATTATTCTTTAAACTTGCTAGTGTATTATTATCGTTATTGTTTGTTAATGTTATTATTTGCCGAGTCTATAAATACAGTTTAATTACCCGCAAAATCAAATTATTTAACTGATGTTAAAAGAAATTTCCAAATTCGCCTAGACTTACAAGGAAAATTGAACATCCTATATTTTCGCAAAAATCAGTTAACGTTAATACGCGATCTGGTCAATCCTAGAGAATTGACTGCAGAGACAGCCTATTAACTGATTGACTGCTTATCGTATTATCGGTTTCATAATTTTTGAACGGACCTTATTGTAATATTAGTTTCTCTGGTGACGCGGTAAAACATCTTCAATATGGTAACCATGGAACTATTATCCTAAGATTTTAGACACCTTAGTAATATCTTTAATACCAATTGAATTTGCGACCTTTATACGGGTCCTTGGCATTCCGAGAGATATTGCTTTTAGTTGCCACCATGTATATTTTCAGGCGAGGGATAACCAGACCATTAGGCGCGTCCTTCAAGGACACGGTAGTTTATTGCTTCCAAACAGATTAACTACGTCAGGCAATAAGATGTTATGTCCAGTGCAAAAAGATTTTGTACCTCAAAATAATTGCTTCTAATAAAAAATTCAACTAGTCCTTATAATTTTTTTACACTAAATAAAGAATAACCTAGGTTAACTTTTTTATTCTATTGCACTTTTACTTGATAATAAATAAAGTACTTTTAATTTTTATTATAAAAATATTTGAAAAATACAGTTTTAACTTAAAGAAATAGCTTTTAATAATTATAAAGATTATATAATAATTCAGTATTAATTACTAAAAATATAAATTAAGTAATCTGTAAAGTTCATAATCAAATTATATAATATATTAATTAAAAATAAATATGAAAAGCAATATAAGAAAAATGAAACTGGATAAAACAAAATATTATTGAATAATTTATAAATAATTATATAATATAAAAAAATTATAAAAATTGATTAAACTTTAAATGATTTTTATTAGAAATAATTATTGATTTTTATATTAAAATATATAATTTTTTTGTATTAGATCATATAATTTTAAAAAGTTATAATATTTTAAATTTTATATTTGATTAAAAATTTAATAGTTATTATATAAAAATAAAATATTTATATATTTAAAAATTACTTCTAATTGATTAATTTAATTAATATATATATGATCTATAATAAAAAATTAGTATTTTAATATAATATTAGATATCTTATGCTATTTCTTACTGTAATTAAAATTTTTTACTCATTATTTTATTTCTTTTTATAATTATTATTTAATATTATTTATTTTTTATTATTATATTTATTATATTAATTATATCTTATTAGTTAATATTTATTATAATCTTATTGATTTATATCATATAAATAGTTATATATTTATATCTTTAATTTATATATTTATATCTTAAATTATATATTTATTTCTTTATTTATAAATTTATATCTCTATCTCTAATTATAAATTTATTTCTTAATTCATAGATTTATTTTTATAAATATAT